TTTTCATCATTGACAAAAATCTGAGAAAAACAGCTTAAAGGAGGAGAAGTTTCTTTTGGCTTATTGTTTCAGAGTTATAATCCATGATGGACTAGCTGGCTCTTGGCTTCTGGGCTGTGGTGAGGCAAAACACCATGGTTGTTACTTAGTGGCAATCAGAAACAAGAAGACAGAAAGGGGCAGGAGGGTAAATAGCCCCAAGGTCATGTTTTCACCAAGACCAAATCTTACATTTCCAGTATCTCTTAAAATAAGACCAGCAACCAGAGACTCCTTCAACCCATGAACTGATGGGAGGAGACATTTATGTTCAATCCATAGCTTTCCCATGTTCTCTCTTGCCATGTGATAATTTTCACTGTCTTTGGACTCTACCAGAGAGAAGGCTAGAACTTGATATGGCCATTTGACCTTGTACCATGGGTCTTGAACTTTGGGCCTGGGCACTATCCCTCAGCTCTTCAGCTCAAGGCGAGTGCTCTACCACATGAATCACAGCACCCCTTCCAGTTTTCTGGTAGTTAACTGGAGATGAGAGTCTCCTCATCTTTCCTGCCCAAGCTATCTTTGAGCCTCAATCCTCAGATCTCAGCCTCCTGAGTAGCTAGGATTACAGGCATGACCGGCCTCAGCTGGATTTTTAAATCTTTCTTTTACCTCTCCTTTGGTTGAGTTCTCGAGATTCTGTTTTTGAAACTGAACTTTTCTCATGGACTAAAGTGTTTCATATGTTATCAGTGAATGGCAACTAAAGGGCTAGTTGGCTAATCTAAAAGTTCTAGGTACTCCTTTCTCCCTCCCCCCCCCTTTTTTTTTTTTGCTGGTACTTGGACTTGAGCTCAGGTTTTGTGCTTTTGTTGACTTTTTCTGTTAGCTGAGCTCTACCACTTGAGCCATGCCTCCAGTCCAAATGTCTTTAAAAAAATTTTTATTGTCAAGTAGTTGTACAAAGAGGCTATACCCTGCTATAAGTCAGGTTATAAGCACAGTGCATGTTGATCAATATCACCCCTTCTGTCATCTCCCCCATTACTCCCCCTCCTGTTTCTACACTTAAGTTACGTATTTTAATTTTTTTATAATGCACATTGAATATAGTGACTGAATTTGCTCTCTTCCTCTATTCATATAGACTTGGCAAAAAATCATACTAAGTAAGCCAGACCCAAAGAAACATAGGCTTCATGGTTTCCTTCATTTGTAGTAATTAGAATGTGTCTATAAATCTACAAATAAGCCCAATAGCTAGTGAAAGACAAATAATTACACCTGGAAATGATTAATTAAACAGCAGGCTATAAACATTTACACAGTGAGAAGAAAGGAAGGTATTCTTAGGAGAAGATCACGAGAACTCAATAGCTAAGTGCATATAATGATATAAAATGATGCTTTTGAAATGAACTCCAGGAAATGGAAGCAAGAGTTTTGGTGTTTTGTTTTTTGTACAGCTTGTAGTTTGATTTATTTTTCTTCTTTCCTTTTTTCTTTGGTTTACTCTCTTCTGTCTGTGTTGCTGTTTTTTTGTTTTTTTTGTTTTTAATTTCTGTACCCTTTATCTTGTATATAAGTTTGTCTGATTTGGGGAGGGGTGGGAAAAGCACAGAAACAGTAGGAAAATTGGTGAACCAATCCAGCAATGAAACCCACTAGACATTATGTTGGAAATGAACTATCTAAACTGGAGGGGAGAGTGGTTATGAGGGGAAGAACTGGAGAGAGGAAGGGAAGGGGTGACACTGTTCAAAAGGAAATGTACTCATTGCCTGTCTTATGTAACTGTAACTTCTCTGTACATCACCTTTACAATAAAAAAATAAATAAATAAATAGCCGGGTTCCGGTGGTTCACGCCTGTAATCCTAGCTACTCTGGAGGCTAAGATCTGAGGATTGCGGTTCAAAGCCAGCCCAGTCAGGAAAGTCCGTGAAACTCTTAGCTCCAATAAATCACCAGAAAACCAGAAGTGGCACTGTAGCTCAAGTGGTAGAGCACTCGCCTTGAGCTGAAGAGCTGAGGGACAGTGCTCAGGCCCAGAGTTCAAGCCCCATGACCGACCAAAAAAAAAAAAAAATTAAAAAAATAAAAATAAGTAAATAAAATCAGATACAGAAACAGGCAGGTTTTAAATGAAAAAAAAAAATCTTGATAGACCATTTTTCCTCACTTTTTGGCCAATTCTGCCTTTTTAAAATAAAGGTCCTTTGACTTTATCCTTTTTTGATACCATTCTAGTTAAGGCCTAGAGAACTTTAAGAAATGAGACTTGAAAGGAATCAAAACAGGAAATTTTAAAATATTGACATATCAGGGCTACATTCAAAGCCCTGCTATAGAATGTAATAGTTTAGAAGCTCTTAACTTTTTTTTTTTATTTTTTAATTGTTTTTAGATAATATTTGAGTCAAATGTAGTTTAAGAAATGGTACAGAAGGAGACTGTGTATGTATCCTTCACCCTGTTTTCCCCAATGGGAACATATCAATCACCTAATAACACAATACAATATAATAATACAATATTCTGGTCTCATTCATGTGAGCATATATTAAACACATCTTAGTAGTTTTATAAAAGCAATGTTAAGTCTCTTCAGTTTAGTCAGTGTGAGAGAAGGTGGGAGAGTTGTATCAGTGTAAAAAAATATTTACAGGTAGGCACACAGACAGTCGCATTGAGAAGCACTGTTGGAAGCATGCATTTCCCTTTATCTGTCGAATAGTCATTTGATCCAGTTCTGGTCAATAAGAAATGAGGGGAAACCCTGAACATTGTCATATATGGAATTGATAAGCTAATCTTGCCAAAATCCAAGACAAATAGTACTGGAACACAAGATTGAAAGAAGGAAGGATACTTTGTTCTTTATTATGTCTCATTTGCTAAAATTGCTAGTTCTGGAATCTGTTGCATCTCTATACTTTTTATAGTATAAAACGTATGTGTCCTGGGCTGGGAAGTTGACTCAGTGGTAGAGCGCTGGCCTTGCATGCATGAGGCCCTGGGTTCGATTCCTCAGCACCACATAAGCAGAAAAAAAAAAAAGCTGGAAGTGGTGCTGTGGCTCAAGTAGTATAGTGCTAGCCTTGAGCTGAAGAGCTGAGGGACAGTGTCTAGGCCCAGAGTTCAGGCCCCACGACCGGAACAAAAACAAAAACATATGTGTCCATAATGTTGGAATCTGGCTGTAGCTGGAAGCCACCAAGATATTACAGTCAATGAGAAGAAAACTGGTAGTAATATTTCACTATTTACTGTTTTATTATTTACTAATATGCTTTTCTAATATTTGTTTAAATAATAGTGCAATAAACATTGATTTATATAGCTATTTCCCCCAACAATGGGGGAATGCCAGAAATGATCAGTATTATGTTATCTCCCTGCCTTAGTTTCTGTATTTGTAGTAATGGGGATTAGACCCAGGGTGAGGGCTCTACCACTTGAGCTCTCTTTAGATAGGGTCTCATTAACTTTGCTTAGTCTGGTATTGAACTTACAATCCTCCTGCATCCACCTCCTAAGACATCAAGCCCAACATTGTTTTTTTTTTTTGTTTTTGTTTTTGTTTTTTGGGTCCGGTCCTGAGGCCTGAACTCTGGGCCTGGGTGCTGTCCCTCTGCTCTTCAGCTCAAGACTAGCACTCTACCACTTGAGCCACAGTGCCACTTCTGGCTTTTTTTCTTTTTGGTTATGTGGTGCTGAGGAATCGAACCCAGGGTCTCATGCATGCAAGGCAAGCACTCTACCACTGAGCCACCTTCCCACCCCATGCCCAACATTGTTATCACTTATTTTATCTACCTACATATAGTGTTAGTAGTAATAAGTATTTTTTAATCTTTTTGAGTGTTTTTTTGGGTACGGTTTGTGGGGCCTGAACTCTGGGCCTGGGTGCTGTCCCTCAGCTCTTCAGCTCAAGGCTAGCGCTCTACCCCTTGAGCCACAGCGCCACTTCTGGCTTTTTTTCTTTTTGCTTATGTGGTGCTGGGGAATCGAACCCAGGGCCTCATGCATGCAAGGCAAGCGCTCTACCACTGAGCCACCTTCCCAGCCCCCTAAGTACTTTTGTAACAAAAATATTAGACCATTTTCAGATTTGCTGCAAATTATTTTTTTTAGATTTTTAGTTCCCTGTTGGTGGCATTGTTTTACAGAAAATTATATTTCCAGTTGTATTTAGTCCAAGTATGAATAAAAAGCCTATGAGATGATATGGATGTATACAGAAGTTATTATGTCAACAATATGAAATAACCAAAATACCATGATACTCTGAAAGTAGGAGGTATTTTCAATCAAAGGTTTTTTTTTTTATATCTTCACGTATATTATGTATTTTTTGGCCAGTTTGCTTTAAAAAATATTATATCAATGCCAGGCAATGATGACTCATACCTGAAATCCCAGTTACTCACAAGCTGAGATCAACTCTGAGATCAAAGGATCACAATTCAAAGCTAGTCCAGAGAGAAAAGTCAAAGAGGCTTGATTTCTAAAATTACCAGCAAAATGCAGGCTGGAAGTGTGGTTCAAGGAATAAAAGTACCAACAGAGCAAGCAAGCCAAGTGAATGTAGGAGCCTGAATTCAAACCCCTATCGTAGCTGGGAAGGTGGCTCAGTGGTAGAGCGCTTGCCTTGCATGCTCAAGGTCCTGGGTTTGATTCCTCAGCACCACATAAGCAAAAAGAAAAAAGCTGGAAGTGGCGCTGTGGCTCAAGTGGTAGAGCACTAGCCTTGAGCTCAAGATCTGAGGGACAGTGCCCAGGCCCAGAGTTCAGGCCCCATGACCAGACCCAAAAAAAACAAACAAACAAAATCCCTATCGTAGTAAAACAAATAAACAAAAAACAAAGATTCGGGTGAAGTCTTTACTCTCAGCTAAGTCATTGGTATAAATCTGCAATTATAGTTTCAATAAAAGAGGGCAAAAAAAATTGAGCAGATTAAAAAATATACATAAAGCGTGTGGCTCAAAATAGATTTAATTTTTCTTCCAGAAACACGATCAGGGGCAAGTTTTGTTGGATATAGTCTTCAAGCATCTTGATTTGACTGAACGAGACTATTTTGGATTACAGTTGGCTGATGATTCTACAGATAATCCAGTAAGTGAAAGCTATTTCTTTTGTTTTCATTTTAGTTTTTCTGTCTGTCTATAATATAATTTCCTTCCTTATATATAATATTCATGATTTAAGAGTGGTGGTTTTTTTTTGTTTTTTTGTTTTTTTGTCAGTCGTGGGGCCTGAACTCTGGGTGTGGGTGCTGTCCCTCAGCTCTTCAGCTCAAGGTGATCATTCTACCACTTGAGCCACAGTGCCACTTCTGGCCTTTTCTGCTTATGTGGCGATAAGGAATCGAACCCAGGGCCTCATGCATGCAAGGGGAGCACTCTACCACTGAGCCACCTTCTGAGCCCCAGTAGTTAAAAATTTTATCTGAAGAATTAGATGTTCGATGTTTCAATCCAAGTTACTAACGTTAGATATTCATAATTATGTCAGCCCCTAGAATCTAGTACCAGTTTAATTATCAGTATCAGACAACTGAAAAGTAAGTTTAATTCATGCCTCTTAATCTAAAGAGAGAAATCTTTTAAGAGTTTCTAACCTCACTTCATTCTAAGTTTTTACTTATTCTTTAGATTCACAGTCATGGTTCTTTTGCTTGAGAATATCAGATCATAGACATAGATGATAACATAATAGAAATGTTTGACAATTTAACATTTTAACGTACTCTGAAGAACTATACCATGTATACCCAACGTATGTAACTATTTCCTCTGTACATCACCTTTATAACAACAGTTTTCAAATTAAAATAAAAAAGACCAAAAAGAAAAAAAATATATACCATGGCCAGGCATTGGTAGCATACTCTTAGAATCTTCGCTGATACTCATAATGAGCTTTAAGATTTAAAAAAAGATTTTTTTTTGGGTCCGGTCGTGGGGCCTGAACTCTGGGCCTGGGAGTTGTCCCTCAGCTCTTCAGCTCAAGGCTAGCGCTCTACCACTTGAGCCACAGCGCCACTTCTGGCTTTTTTTCTTTTTGCTTATGTGGTGCTGAGGAATCAAACCCAGGGCCTCAGGCATGCAAGGCAAGCGCTCTACCACTGAGTCAACTTCCCAGCCCAAGAAAAAAGATTTTAAAACTTTGAATTAAAGGTAGATTAACAATTGGATGCTTGGGCCTAGGAATAAATCTCCTGTAAGAGGTAAATATAATATGGTAAGGTATGAATAATGGGTGCACATATTTTATATATCACATATGCATTCGTTTATAAGACTAGAGCTAAGGCTGGGAAGGTGGCTCAGTGGTAGAGTGCTTGCCTTGCATGCATGAAGCCCTGGGTTCGATTCCCCAGCACCACATAAGCAAGAAGGAAAAAAGCCGGAAGTGGTGCTGTGGCTCAAGTGGTAGAGTGCTAGCCTTGAGCTGAAGAGCTGAGGGACAATGCCCAGGCCCAGGACCGGATCCAAAAAAAAAAAATAAGACGAGAGCTAATAATTTACTTGACATATAGACTTTGAAATTAATTTCATTGCACTTATAATTAAGAAACTAATAAAGCATGTAGCTTCATGTTTCTGTTTCATGCATAGCAAGTATAGAATCATGGGTATATTTTTCTTTAAAGTCTTCTACAGTAAGGAATTCTAGTGCAACAATCAAAATTACTTAGAGCAAAGCTTTGACTTTCTGAAATTTCTCAATGTTTTGATTTATCATAGCTTTGGCTCTTGGTATAATTGTTGTTTCATTTTGTTGTGTTACGGTTTTTGTTCTTAGATGTTAGGAAGCATGCTACCTGCTAAGCTATGCCCACAGCTCTTTTTGCTTCTTAAACTCTTTGTTAGAGGGAAGGGTGTCAATTTTCATTCTCCAGATTTTGACAGGCTGTTACAAAGGAATCTGAGATGTAGAGAAGTGCTTTAGAAAGAAACAGCAGCGAGGCTGGGAAGGTGGCTTAGTGGTAGAGTGCTTGCGTTGCATGCATGAGGTCCTGGGTTCAATTCTTCAGTGCCACATAAGCAGAAAAAATAAAGCCAGCAGTGGCGCTGTGGCTCAAGTGGTAGAGCACTGGCCTTGAGCTGAAGAGCTAAGGGACAGTGCCCAGGCCCAGAGTTCAGGCCCCACTACTGACTCCCCCCCCCCCCAAAAAAAAAAATAGTAAAAAAAAGAAACAGCAGCAGGTGCAAATATTCAAAGGGAAGAGACAGAAATGTTCTATTTGAGGAATTAAAATGGTTACTAAGTAAAGTTGTTTACACTTGTGGTCTCAGTAACTTTGGATGTGGAAATTAGAAGGATCATGGTTGTAGGCCATCTTCGGCCAAAAGTTAGTAAGCTTCCATTCAGCAAATAAGCTGGATATAGTGGTTTACATGTACAATCTCAACTATGATGTAGGCATAGGTAGGATTATAGTCTAAGGCTTTCATGGTTTCAATGGCTCCAGTGGTAGAGCATTTGTCTAACAAGTGCCAGGATCAGAGGTCAAACCCCAGTACCACCAAAAGAACAAAAGTAAAAGTGAAGTAAAATTTTACTTTGGCTGGAAGATAGAGCAATAGAGGCATAAAAGATAACATTTGAGCAACATATGAGATCATGAAGTGCTTTTTAATCCATAATAAAATTATATATACTTACATAGAACATAATTTATTCAACAAACATGAAATTTGTATTTTACATATATCTGATTTTAATGTAGTCTGTGACTAATAAAATTGAAAATTAAAGACAATTGGAAGATGGTTGGAATAATACAGTTGCTATAAAAAATAATGTTTGCTTGTAGGGGATAGGGAAAAGTATGTGCTAAAGGTAATTAGGAGATAAAGTTATTAGAACTATGGTTCACCATTAGGTATGCCATTAGGTTAGGGGTGCTTTTTGTTTTTGTTTTCTTTTTTACCTAAGTCAATGTAACTGAAGCATAATTTACATAGAATGAAATTCAACATCTACTCACAATGAAAACATCAACCAAAAGGAACCTTTTCTCTGAGAAAGGATGTCTGCTAAACATCCTGCCAATGCATCTGTGAAATATAAAGTAGAACCACAAGGAAAAATCAATACACATTCACTAGAATGGTTAAAATGAAAAATTCTTTCAATATCAATATTGGCAATGGAGCAGCATCTTTGTAACAGGTGGTATGCACTTGTAATCTCATCACTTGGAAGGCTGAAGCAGGAGATTTGTGAGTTCAGGGATAGCCTGGGCTATGCATAACAAGTTTGAGGCCAGCCTGAGCAACAGTAGCAAGATCTTATTTCCTTCCCCCCAAAATGTTTGTAAGAATTTAAAAAGATAAGCCACTTTGGAAAATAGTTTGGCAATTGCTTGTAAAATTAAATACAATGTTAATATGCCATGCAGAAATAACATTTTTTTTAAGATACTTAACCAAATGAAATGAGAACTTGTCATATAAAACCTTGTACATAAATGTTCAAGGTAGCTTTTTCTGTAATACTCCAAACATGAATTAACTTTTATGTCCATTAGCAAGGTAATGAAGAAAACTTGAAATGTATCTATATAGTAGAACAAGGAAACGACAAATAATACCAGAAGTTTGGGTAAATCTGTTGTCTGGGGATTGAAAACATTGCAAATGAACACAAGACATTTTATGGTGAGAGAAATGTCTTATTTGTGATGTGATAGTTACCTGGCTTATACATTTCTTATGACTTAGACTGTACATTGAAAATATATGCATGTAATTTAGCTCTGTCCAGTCTTTTGAAAGAGCAGTATCCTTTTGTTTAAAGTTCCAACTGTTCCTTTTTTATGAGTCTCTTATATCTTCATGTACATACATAGTTTGTCAGCTAGAATTGAGATAGCTTGTATGTGCTGGTTTTTCACTCTGAATATTCTGAATATTTTGTGAATCCTGAAGTCCTGTCTAGTAAGCTAGTAAGCTAGACAGCTAGTAAGGCTGTCCTAAGCTTATATTTGAGTTTTCTTTCAGGCAAAAAACTGGTAATGTGAAAATCCCATTTATTGAGGTTTTTCAAGAATAGAATTTGTTTCTACATGCTTTGGGTTACTTTCCAATGTCATACCCTGTATACACACAGACACATATAAAAATGAATGCCATTAGTTACCAGACATTTAGAAGATTTCTTAGAAGATTGAACCTTGACAAGAATTGGAGAGAGGGGGATCAAACTAGAGGAAACCCCAACAGAAGTAATTGAGAAGAAAGGGGGAGAGCGATTTGAGGAAACAATGGCCCAAAGCTCCCAAAATTTGAAGAAAAATATATTTATACAAATACAGGAGCTCACCAAGCTTCAAACAGTATTTTTTAAAAGTTGAGAAATGAGACAAACTTGAAAGCAGCAAGAGCAGTGTCTTAACACATACCATGGATCCTTAATAAAATAGGAACCTTTCAGAAGCAATGTGATGATAGATTAAAATGCTAAAAGAAAAAAAAATCTGAAAATTCTGTATCCAGCAAAACTATTCTTCAAAACGAGAACATTGTCAGTGCAGGCTTTTAATACCAGCATTCAGGAGGCTGGAGGCAGGAGAATCTCAAGTTCAAAGCTAGTCTGAGCTACATAGCCAGAGCCCATCTCACAGAAAACTTCATAAAGGAGAGTTAAGACATCTCAGGTAGAACTGAGGGAGTTCATTACCAATAGACCTGCTTTAAAACAAATGCTAGAGGTAAACCTTTCAAGTTGGAATGAAAAGACCCTAGACAGTAGATCCAGAGCCATAAAAAATACTGAGCTATCCCACGAAGTAAATACATGAACAGTTATAAAAGTATCATCATGATTTCAGTTTGTAACTTCATTTTTTATTTCCCATGGTATTCAAAAACATGTAAAGAGGGCTTGGAAGGTGGCTGAATGGTAGAGTGCTTGCCTTGCATGCATGAGGCCCTAGGTTCCATTCCTCAGTACCACATAAGCAGAAAAAGCCAGAAGTGGTGCTGTGGCTCAAGTAGTAGAGTGCTAGCTTTAAGCTGAAGAGCTGAGGGATAGCGCCCAGGTTGAATTCAGGACCCAAGACTGACCAAAAAAAAAAAAAGTGCAAAGAAAATAATAATTATAAA